GTAATCCACCGACAGAGCCAAAAATATATTAATGAGTGCCACATAAACCTAATAAAGCAGCTCAACATAAACAATAAAACAATGATAAGAACAGAATGTGGTCTAACAAGCGAACTAAAAGTCTCATCCGGCATTAGACAGGGAGATAATCTTAGCCTATGCCTTTTTAACATCATAATGGACCAAATAATTGAAAGTGTGAACAAAGGCGATGCAGGGTTTATAATTAACAACCGCCGCCTTAGAATACTCGGTTACTCTGCCTTGACTGCAGAGAGCGAAGATGGCCTGCAACACCATCTCCACAGATTCAATCTAACAGCACAGGTACTTAACATACAAATTTCGATCGAAAAACCACAACCTATGGTAAGATTCAAAGATCCGATCCCACGTAAGTTGGTGGTGAGTGAGCGCATTATACATCAGGTGATGAATTTCACCTGTATGAGGGTACAGGTATCGAGCACAGTGCAGTGGATGAGGTGGACAACCAGATAAGAAAGGGCGTGAGAGTATCAGGGTGTTTGCAAGAAATATATGACCACAGAGAGCAAGATACCAGATGAAAATCCGGAAAACAATAAAAAGGATCACATTGTATGACAGAATACGCAACGAGAACACCAGAAGAGAACTGTGGACCAAAACACAAAAACCAGAAACAAGGCGCCCAGCTAGCAGGCCCCCAAAACGCTGGTACGAAAGTTGGGCATTTAGATCACAGGAAGGCTGGTGGCATAATTGACAGGACTTTGGCCTTTTACCCGAAGAAGAAATATATCATATTTCAATGAAACCAAAAGTTAAGGAACAGGTGTAGTAAAAGTAGGGAATAAATACCCTGGTTTCCCTTAAATTGTAAATTATAGTTCTCATAACTGGCGGGTAATTTTCCGGCCGAAATTTTCAGCAAAATAAAATATTGGAACAACAATAAGTGCTGGTGCAGATTTTGAACCAATCTCTGTTCATTTGAGTGACGCCCGGACAATGTAGCTGTCTCCCGTTAACAGTTACAAGAAAACTTATTCGAGTTTTCGAAACGCAAGGCCTCGCGAAAATTGTACGATCGGCTTGCAAATTAATCCCGAACAATGCGAATTATGTTATTCGTTTGGCGCTCGATTTATCAAAGTACGTCAATTTTGTATTAAGACAAAGAGCTAAAATTATTATAATTGTGAGGCTTTTAGCTATTAGCGGCAATTGCATTGTTATTTTAGTTAATGAGTTATTTTTGCTATTGCAATCTCTAACTGCAGCCTATTATGTAGCAAGTTTTTATTTATTGTAATGCATCCTGAATGTTGATAAGTTCTATATTGTTGAGGCGGATTCATTTTTTTACAAACTTCTTTTTGGGTATTTCGCCTCCAAAATTTTTGTCAGACAGAATTTCCTCACGTCTTTTATTACAGATTGATAAATAGTGCTCCTATTTCGCAATAAGAACGAATTATTTATCAAAAA